GTGGGATTTTTCCTTTGCATGCAAAGAGTAGTTCATCATAGATTTTTGTATGGGTTCTGAATTTGTTTCTTGAACCACTTGAATCATCAACCATAACTTTTTGTTATAATTTTAAACCTTGACTTAGAAAGTTGGGAGCATTCAAATTGAAATGTTTGGTTGTATTCGAGTTAGGGAGAAAAAGGTAGGTTGCTAAGAGGTTGCAAAAGAAAGAGGTTCAAAAAGAAAGAAAAATGTGAAAAGACTTGAAAAAGAAGTGAATTTGTTTGAAAGAAAAAATGGCAAATAAGTTGTGTTCAAAGGTGTAGCAATTGAGCAATGAGAAAAAGGTAAATGTAGTTGTGAATGCTTGAGAATTTGAAAAGTGTTCGCTCTCATTTGTTTAGACAATTTTTGTTTCAATTACCAAGATATGACCCTCCTTTGTTAACCAAGTCGCATTACAACTCTTGAAAGTCCTTTGTGATTTGTGCTTTAATGCTTTCAATATGATTTTTTTTGGATGAATGCATAATTTAATCAAGATTTTAGCAAGATTGTTAGGTGTGAGTCAAGTCTCTTGTGTTTGTTCTTCGTCCATTGATGAAGTTGTGTGTTAGGTGTGATTCATATTTGAAAATGTGTTTCTTTAGAATTTTTGAAATATGTTTTGTGCTTAAGATTTGTTCATGATCATCGTGTAGTTATAGTATAGTGGTAAGCATCACTTTGCTTGTACTTTTGCAATTTGAACCATACATTTGTTTCGTTTCTAAGAAACTTGTTTGATAATTATTTCTTTATGGTTTTTGTTGTTTCTTTAGGTTTAATTGACTTTTGTTTGAGGAAAAATAAAGGTTTGAGTTGGGGATAGTTTGATAATTCCCAATCTATTTTGCGCTTTCAATCATTTATTTCCCCGAGTTTTCTATAAAATGCCATATAAATTGCAATTGGATTTGGTATCCTTGATATGTGTGCTAGTATGCAGAAAGTGTTGCAAGAAGTAAAAAATGAAGGCACAAATCAAAGAAGAAGGAACAAAGCCAAGAAGGGGAAAATTCAGCAAGCTCGCCCAATGAGTATTGGCGAAGGAAATGCGAGCTCGCCCAATAAGCTTTGGCGAAGCAGGGGCGAGGAGAAACAAACTAGTTCCAGTTGCAAAACTTGTCATGGTCGCCCAATGAGGATTTATGTGTGTTGAGTTCGCCGGGTGAGATGAGATATTTTGCTGAGGGCAGTTTGATGCTTTGCTGGCAGAAGGATGGGCCAAAAAGTGACTTTTGTTGGGCGAGGTCCTGTTCGTCGGGCGAGACAGGACATTTCCAACTTTGTATATATATGTTCAAAAGCTGATTTTTGAAGCTCTTTAGCTCTCTTGTGGGCTCTTGACCTCTCTAGACTTTTCTTGATTTGAAGACACCATTTTTGGAGAGAGAGAGAGAGAGAGAGAGAGAGAGAGAGAGAGAGAGAGAGAGAGAGAGAGAGAGAGAGAGAGAGAGAGAGAGAGAGAGAGAGAGAGAGAGAGAGAGAGAGAAAATCTTAGAAAACAACAAAAGATTTTACTTCTTGAAGATCCAGAGCTGGGTTCGCTTCTATCGTTGGGGAATCGCGATGGATGCTTGTTCATCTTCATTTTTCTCTTTGTATCTAGCTACCATGGGTAGCTAAATCCCTTTCTTTTTGGAATTGGATGTAAGTTCATTATAAAAGTATGTATGTTTATTAATCATTGCGTTATGTACAATTTATTCATGCTTTAATATCGACGTTGTCCTTGTTTACTTGTTTTACATATTGATTTGAACTGTTATTGAGAAATACTCCTTGAATCACGACCTAGGATAATCATCTGTTAGATTCTAAATTCTAGACATAGATTTAGATTTAGCATTCACTTGAGTATCTAGTCTTAATGCTATTGTATTGTTTAATAGGCTGAAAGATCGTCAATTAGATAATACAATTGAACTCTTTTCAAGAGTTTAGACATGAACATTATTGGTGAGCGATACATGATGATATTGATAAATGTTTAGACTGTGCATAAGTGATTGGTAAATTACATATTCTATCGGTGGATAAAATTCAATCCTTATAAGCTCTCATCTCTCTGAAACTTTATTTAACGTCTATTTGTGTTTCATTTTGTAGCTTTAAACCATTAACCATCTTGCAAACTTACGCTTAAAAACATATTAACTGTTAAACACCATTGATATCACACCAATCCTTGTGGATACGAAAAAACAAATACTCACCCTCAATAGCACCAATCCCGGTGGATACGAAAAAATAAATACTCACCCTTGATAGCACCAATGCTACAATTAACACCTGTTGAAATATATTTGCAGTCGACTCAAACTCAAAGACAGAACGAGGTTCCATCTGACCCTTATTGGAGTACGATGTTGGATTAGATGGTCGATTTAGATGAAGAAAGGTTCGCAATATTGGATGTCCTGATAAGGCAAAAAGAGCGAGTAGCTAAGGCCTATAACATAAAAGTTAAGGTAAAAATATTTTCAGTTGGTGACTATGTATGAAACGTTATTTTGCCTATGGATCGAAGAGATAGAGCTTTGGGTAAATGGTCTCCTGATTGGGAAAGCTCATTTTGAATTATTCAAGCATTTTCGAATAATGCTTATGAAATCAAAGAGTTAACATCTGATCGTCGAATCCTGAGAGTAAATGGTAAATACTTGAAAAGGTATAAACCTATGCTACAGGAAATTTGAATTGTAACATAATAATATGCATAAAAAGCGAAAGCGTCAAAATGGTATTAATAAAAGTACCAAAATGACAATGTCATTGGAAAACATGAAGAAAAAAAAGAAAAGGAAATCAAAGTACAAATTAAATAGGAAATTTAGATTTGAAATCCTCAAGCTTGATCTTCAAAAAATTGAGCATTGTGGTCAGTCGGTCATGGGACTCTTCCAGAGAGTCAATTTCAAGTCCCAAGTTGAAAGCATCTTCAGCATGTTCGACACCTTTGGTGGCCTTCTAATCAATCATTTCTCTGGTAGGCAATGACTTTTCCCATGCAAGTTCAACCTTTTGCTTTTCCAGGTTGTCGATTTCCTTGGTGAAATTAAGAATTTTGGCTTGACGTTGTGCAATTTGCTCGTCGAGTAAAGTCTTCTTGTCAGTGTATTCTTGAAGTTTACTTTTAAAGGTCTGCAATTGTACATAAATCCTACAAAACTCAAAGTATCTGTGTATTTGTGAGAAAAGAGTCAAGAATGTACGTATGCGTTCCACTTTTATAAATTAAAGTCTTTATGTTCGAATCATTTAATGCATTGAATTTAGTTTTCAATCACTCTTAAGTCTTCTTTGCATTTTGATTTCAATTTAATTCTAGTAATTATTCTCAAAACTTTACATTTCAATTTTGATGTCAAAATTGCTTGAAACTCATTATTCACACAAATATGTCCTGAGATCTTTTCAAGTTTTATCCCTTAAGTATTAATTGAAACTTGTTTTGTTTACTAAATTTCACAGTAAACGCGGTCTCCAACGTTCAACTGTCTTTCGTCCTACACATCACTTATGCATGTTTTGTCTGTTTTCGATTGATCTCCATGTGCCTTTGGTGTTTTGGATAAGACCAAAAGACACTCATCTAATTTAAATTTGAATCTGTTTTAGTCGAACATAGTTCAATCTGTTGGATTAGTGAATAACCAACTTTTTGGAAATTTTCCTAAGTACCAAACCAAATCCTTCAGTGTTAAACGTCGTCGTTTTACTCTAAGGTCTTTGATCGAAAAACATGTAACCTTGATTTGTGTTTATAGAAATTTCAATTAATTTCCTTGTCGAATTTGCATATTAAAATTTCTTAACTAACAATTCGGCGTTATATTTAACTAATAATATAATCGTGACACACTTAATGATATATAATAATATTTTTTTTTTGACGGGATATAATAAAATTTCTTAAAAGCACCTAAATTTTGTATGAAAATTTTTTTAATACAAAATGATTCATTTCACTTTGAAATTTACTTTTAATATTATGGTTATATATATATATATATATATATATATATATATATATATATATATATATATATATATATATATATATATATATATATATATATATATATATATATATATATATATATATATATATATATATATATATATATATATATATATATATATATATATATATATATATATATATATATCTTAAAAACGTTTAAATTTTGTATGGAACATTTTTTATTACAAAATGATTCATTTATTATTTTTTTTCTAAAATTAAAATGTTCATTCATTTATATTGTTAGATTATATTGAAATTAACACAAAATTCTAAAAGTAAAAAGAACACATGCAACGCAAGTTACACCAACGACAATCAAAACAACCCACAGCAAAATATGACAAAAATTAGTTTAGATTAATGACATAAAGATCCTTAATATTTATTTTCTTTCCAAATTTAAGTGTAAATTAAAATAAAAAAAAACATAAACTAAAATTAGTTAAATTTATAAGACACTAGCAAAATAGATAGATTAGATGCAGAGAACAGAGAAAAGAAAAACATATTTTGTTAAAAGAAGAAAAAAATTTCACAAATAAATTGATTCTCTACGAATAAAAATACTCAAATAAATATTGAGAATTACTTTATACCAATACTATAGTCAACTCTCCTATAATGGAGCGATTTCGTTTGCAAAGGAAAACATACATTGGTTGGTAAGAATTTTGGATATCTATCAATATCATTATTTTGGACACTGATAACTTGATAAGCATGAAAATAAATCTAGACAAAAATAAGTTGAATAAAAAAAAATGAATAAAAGAAAAAAAATAGCGAGAGAAAGTTGGTTGTTGAATATTCAGATTTTGAAACTATTAAACTACAATAAATAGAGCGTTGCACAAACACTCCCTCACTCGCTCGCTCATTTCTCACCTAACATCTCGTTCTCCGCATCTTCATCTTCTTCTCTTCTTCCCTTCTTCCGATCACCACCATGGGGTTCCAGAAAATCAATGTCGCCAATCCTATCGTTGAGATGGACGGTTCGTTTCTTCACCTTTCGATCTGATCTATGATCCCGATCTTATTCTTATTCCTCGATTTCATCGATCTATTCTCTTCAATTTTTATTTTTATTTTCGTGATTTTGTTATCTTGTCACTGTCTTATCATGTCGATTTGTTCCTACTTTGATTAAATATTTTTCTTCAGATTATTTTTTGTGGACCATTCTCTGTTCTGTTATTTTTGTCTAATTATTACGTTAAGGTGAAAACTTAATAATAGTTCGCTTTTTTCGTATCTTTTTAATCTTACTTTTGATTTGTAAGTCTAGGTTTATTTTCTGATGATACTGATTTGTTATTTTAAGTGGAGTTTTGTGTAATTTATTCTCAAAAAAGATGTTGAATTGTTAGTAAGAACATTACATCAAATGAGTAAAAAAAGAAAATCAGATCAGTATAATTTTTCAAACAAAAAAGGTGTATGTAAGTGTAATTAGTACTAATCTCATGCGATGCCGGTCTAATTATCCTAATTTTAAATTTAAATACTCAATTTATTGGAATTTCATTACAGGAGATGAAATGACCCGAGTTATCTGGAAGTCAATCAAGGATAAGGTGATTAATCATCTTCTTGGACTTATTGTGATCATCGCGGTTTCATTTTTTTGGGGTGAAAATTGTTTCTAACAATGATGCCTTTTGTTTTTGTGGAATAGCTCATTTTGCCTTTCTTGGAGTTGGACATCAAGTACTTTGACCTAGGCCTTCCTTATCGTGATCAGACTGATGATAAAGTTACAGTTGAAAGTGCTGAAGCAACTCTCAAGTATGTTTTTATATAATATCTGCTGATTGTTTGGTTTAGGCTTTTAATTTTTATAGTGCACTGATTTTTAAAATTTTGTATTTGTTTTCAATATGATAGATTGTTGAATTAAAACTGTTTTACATTTGATTCTGTGTAATTCTTATCATTGTTTCTAATGGTTGCACTTGTACTGCTACGTAGGTATAATGTTGCAATCAAGTGTGCAACTATCACTCCAGGTAGCAGCCAAATCCTAACATATTATTTTAGTTTTTGACTTCATGTGGACTTGTGCGAATGCATATAACGTTTCATGAGTAAGAACAGGGGACATCAAGTTGCTGCATGTTCATGTTCTACTCAGTATTATATATTGCAGAGCTTATACTAGTGTTATGATTGACAGATGAAGCTCGTGTCGAGGAGTTCGGCCTGAAGAGCATGTGGAGGAGTCCAAATGGGACAATTAGAAACATTTTGAATGGTAATCTAATGTAATTTCATTATTATTTTTTATATGTATGATATTAAATAATACACTAGTTGGTTTATATGTTCTGGTCCGTAATTGCTGGCTAATGAGTTGTAGATGACTAGATATATATTGGTTTCTTATCTGCTGTCTCAAAAATTTCAGGAACTGTCTTCAGAGAACCAATTATTTGCAAAAATGTCCCTCGCCTTATTCCTGGTACGTATTGAATTTTTCTTTTCTGATTGCTCCTTTTCCTTGATGAATAGAAGTGTGTGAATATCTCAACATTGCCAGGTTGGACAAAGCCAATCTGTATTGGAAGGCATGCTTTTGGTGATCAATATAGGGCCACTGATGCAGTAATTAAAGGACCTGGAAAGCTGAAGATGGTGTTTGGTATACTTTTTTACTAAGGATTGTCAAGTTAAAAAGCATGTTGTCACTTCTTATAGAGCTAGTTTTTCAGTATTAGTTTATGTTGCCCGCTGATGATTATTTTTACGAATTCTTCTATTGTAGTTCCAGAAGGCAAAGGCGAGACCACTGATTTGGAGGTTTATAACTTCACCGGTGAAGGAGGTGTTGCATTGGCTATGTACAATACTGATGAGGTTGGGTCTTCATTGCCTTTTATTAGTTTTTCTTTAATATATAATATTTCAATGAAATCTGCTGGTACTGAACTATCTATTTTTTGGTATGTAATGTAGTCTATTCGTTCTTTTGCTGAGGCGTCTATGGCAACTGCTCTTGAGAAAAAATGGCCACTTTATCTTAGCACCAAAAATACAATTCTTAAGAAATATGATGGAAGGTATGCTATTTATTATTTTATTTCTTATCTATCTATTTATTTTCATAAACCATTGCTGTATTGATCCCTGTTTAATTATATATATTTATTGGTTAAAGATTCAAGGACATATTTCAAGAAGTCTATGAGGCTGGCTGGAAATCAAAGTATGAGGCTGCTGGTATATGGTGAGTTGATGTGTACCTTTTTTTTTGAGAAAAAAATTGTTCCTGTGATATTATTGTTTTCATACTTTTATCTAATGGATTTGGAAGGTATGAGCATCGCCTCATTGATGATATGGTGGCATATGCACTCAAGAGTGAAGGAGGTTATGTATGGGCCTGCAAGAACTATGATGGAGATGTCCAGAGTGATTTCTTAGCTCAAGGTTTGTTTTGACGTGCTTGTTTATCAGTCACTTTCTTTTTGCAATTTCATATGCATTGATTTTTTCTCTCTTCTAATGTTTATTCACATTTGTTCAGGTTTTGGATCATTGGGTTTGATGACATCTGTATTGGTAAGTGTCATTTCAAATCCTTATTCATTGTACTTTATTTTGACTTTTATTTTTATCCATATTTATTGAACTCTCCCCCTCTCTGTGTAGTGGTTCTTTAAGAATAAAATAATTAATTTCGTGTGAATGGATTATCAATTAAAACATATATTCTATTTATTCATTAAAATAACGCTAATATAGTTTGCAACAGATTGTAAAATGTAATTTATGCTTAATTGGCCTCGATGCTTACTTAGTGTTCTTGGTGTTAGCTTGCTGATTGGTACTGTTGAATTACGGTGTGATTTCAGGTTTGTCCTGATGGAAAGACCATAGAAGCAGAAGCAGCTCATGGGACAGTTACCCGTCATTTCAGGGTTCATCAAAAGGGCGGAGAAACCAGCACAAACAGCATAGCATCCATCTTTGCTTGGACAAGAGGTCTAGCCCATAGGTAAATTACCATGTAACGTGCATAGTTGAGCGCTATTATTTACCATTGCATTAGAAACAAGGGGGATTAAAATGCGTATATATTGACAGGGCAAAGCTAGATGACAATGCTAAACTCTTGGAATTCACTGAAAAGCTAGAGGCAGCTTGTATTGGAGTAGTAGAGTCTGGGAAGATGACCAAGGATTTGGCACTTATTCTTCATGGATCCAAGTATATATAAACTTATCACCGGCGTTTGTTACGTCGACCAAATCATTTTCTTTTCTACTTGACATGATTAACTCTTTACTATAATTTTTGCAGCCTTAAAAGGGAGCATTATTTGAACACAGAGGAATTCATCGATGCTGTGGCAGCCGAGCTTAAATCTAAGATCTCTGCGTAGATTTGTGATTTTAGGTAGGCAGTTACTTAGGTTCCCTTCATTCATATTTGAGCATACATAAATAAATGTTGCGACACAAATGAGCTATGGAAACACTACTATTGTGTACTTTATCTCCTACTTATCTAAAGGGCTTTTTTTGTTTCTTTATTTGGTTATATTATCAGATATTAGAAAAGTGACACAAGATTGGAGAGGTTCGCATGCACTTTCAAAAGAAATAAGAAAGAGGATCAAAGCATTGGTCTTGGCTATTTTTCTTTCCCTCATTTGTGTGTTGGGTCGGAACGCATGGGTTGTGCTTCCCCCGTTTAGTTTGAAAATTTGAATTGTGTACCTTTGAATTTTGACAGAGAAATTTAAATGGATTTTGTTTTGCTATCTTACGGCTGATTTTCCTTTGCATGTTTTATTCTACAAATATAACACCTACAGAAAGAAAGGAAATATTTCCTTTTATAAATTTCTCATTACAGTCACCGCACTATTATAACATAGGTTCTGCTATCCAGTGTCCTAAGAGCACTGAATTAATATAGCTATGGCCCCACTCATTTAACTTTGAAATAAACAATTGTTAAGTTTAATAATTACAATGGTTAAGTTTAATAATTAAAATATTAAAGATTATACGGCTGTCATAATTAAAATATTAAGTTTAATAATTTATTGTTGATCATTTCACAATAAAATAGGTGGGGAACATAGCTAATTTAATGCTCTTAACCATTGATAGCATTCCCCTTATAACATTGATTCTGTCCCTTTCTCTTCCCTGATGATGACTTTGTTCCTATCTATACCCAAATTCATCAACTCTTTCCATCTCCCACACGACTATCACTCCTCTAGCATCTCCCCTTAGAACCTATTGACGTTTTTTGTGATATTTGAATGTGATCATAGATTTGTTGACAGCTAATGCAGTTTGATATGTTTCAAGTGAGCGCTTGACAATAATTCTAAAATTTATCATAATTATATATTTCAAGTTAATTTTTTTTAATTAAAACTAGGTTAGTTGATTCTGAAATTTATCATAATTATATCTGTACTTCAATTTTTAATTAAAGCTAAGTTAGTTGGAAACCAGTAAAGTAGATAATAAAATAATTTACACTTACAAAACAAAATATATTTTTTCATTGTGAACAAAAAGATTTTTAGAAAAGACAAAAAAAAAAAACATCTATGGCTTCGGCGTAGCAGAATCACCACCACATTCACCATTTTCTAAACTCTCAAATACAAAACCCATCGGAAATATTCCCCAAGAAACATAATAAGCTTCTTCTCCGGGAACAATTGGCGGAAGATCCTGAATCGAAACACCATGAAAAGATTTGTTACAATTCTGACACATCAAACAACAACCCTCATAAACCCTAGAATACTCATACAAACGGTAACAATAAGGACAAACAGTCCAAAAATTTACCGTTCCATTTTCCAAACCATTATCCTCAAGTTCAAAGCCCTTATCATACTGAGCCTTTTGAGCAGGATCAGACAAAACAGCCCAAGCATCAGAAACGAGCTTGAAAGCAAGTTCAGCAAATGAAAAACGGTTCTTGTCAGGATGAAGAAGAAGAGCAAGAGTACGATACTTTCTCCTTATGAGATTCAGATCTGGCGAGGAATTTCGATCTATTTGAAGAATAGCGTACCAATTGAGGTTGTTGTTGTTGAGAGTTAGAGGCTTCTCAGCTGCTTCGAGAACATCAACTATTGCTATGATCTGGTCGGAACCTTCTAGAAGAGGGTCGGTTTCCTGAGCTAGAACTGCCATTTCTCTTGAACCTTTTAAATCTCGTTTCTGTAAAAGCTCTTCTCCGATTTCCAGTAACTGTTCTGCTTCAGCTTTGCTTGGTGTGTTCATTTTTTCTAGATAAAAGTTTTGCTTGCTTGGTTTGTTAGAGGATTTATTAAGGACACGGAGATGAAACTAAATATGTGAGAAATATCTTAAATCTTTGTTGGGAGAAAAGTTGTGTGCAGTTCATTTGACATTTGTCCTGTTGGTAGTTTTTCAGAAGCAGCTGTCCAGTCTCTTCCTTACCACGTTTCAACTTAGTGACACCGCGACTTCACCATGTTCAAGTCTAATCCCTTCTATCCATATTTTTGCTGTAAAAGCTAAAACAAAAGCCCTGCCAATCCATACAGGAATGGAACGCTTTTTGATATGGCACGTAGCACGGAATGGAACGCTTTTTGATGCACGGAGCAGTATCAATTAAGATTGAAACTTCAAAAGCTATATGAAAAAATAAATTAATATTTCATATTTTCTCATTTCAATTTGACAAATATTTGTTCTTGTTGAAATAGTACAATGAGAGCTATCTGTTATATAATTTTCTCCAACAGTGTTTGGATATCTCTTTTCCATATTATGAGGATGTTACGAGGATGAGGTATATATAGAAAATGTTCTTAGATTAAAGATTAAGAGGAGCAATTTCCTTATATTTTGGGCAAAGGTATGAAAGTGGGAAGTCGGGACTCTTTGTTAATTATGGGAAGGACAACGTTCTCTTGACTAATTATACGAGCCACGTACCTTATTAGTGGAGTCGCTAGAAAAACATGGTTTATTTAGGGTGGTTAGGCCTAGGCCTATCACAACAATCAATTAAGGCACCTTGAGTGTCTATTTGGTTGGAGTGACTTATGAAACGTTGTTACAATTGCATTCATGTTGGTAGAATTGTATTGCTTGTGTCATTTGAACTATTCATCCCAAAGTTTATGAAACGTTGTTACAATTGCATTCATGTTGGTACAATTGGATTGCTTGTGTCATTTGAACTATTCATCCCAAAGTTTAATAAGATTATCGGAGTCCACAGTCTCTCAAATATGAAATCTTGAAAAAAGTGTAGTGATTAATGAGTATGACTCAAAACTCTATTTAAGGGGGCCTAGGAAAAACTCTTCGACTAGGCATTTGAGATGATTCACCCCAAATGAGATTGTGATTGGTCCTTTAAGTAAATTTTCAGGTGAGTCCTTCAAGCGAAGCTTAAGGCGAGTCCTTGAAGCAGAGTTTGGGGTGAGACATTCAAATGCCACCATCAATGGCACGTGCTTGTAACACCATAAACCCCGATATTTTTATATTAAACTTTACACGACAATCTAAGGTGTCACCAACGATAAAACCTTTAACAAATCAAACATTTAACAAACACGCATCAGAAATATCAACGTCATACAATACTTGTCATCGCATACTCACCTTCACTTAGGGTATCATTGCGACGATATCGATGTTATTTCAAATTATAAAAACATTGCAACTTAGACTTTTAGTCTCAATCCTCAAATTATGATAAACATTCAAAAATAAAGAGTTATCATATTTCATTCTTTAACAACTTCAACATAAACCAAATATAAATAATTAATCTCCAACAAAACATAATAAATAAACAAACAAATGTTCCCAACTCCAATGTTACAGGATCAGAGCAATACTTCTAAAACAAGGATGAAACTAAATAAAGTAACTCCATGGCTAACTTTCACTTACAGTAGTAGACTCTACCCCTGAGTATTTGTAAGATGTCCATGGTGGACAACATGAAAGTAAAAGGGGTGAGAAATATCAAACCAATATAAACAATATAAATAACGCCAAGGTAAAGAATACACCTCAAACACACATTCAATTACACAATCAACAATCACATAGTCTCACATCTTCACAACAATATATACATATTCACATCCAATCAACAACAACATGAATAATTAACTACATATGCAATCATGTATGAAAATGTACTTCATAATTGTCTCATTATGCATGTGATACCATTCATGAACACTCAGGTTCATATCGCTCCCGATCCCCACCAAAGGACCAGAGCACACCAAATTGTTATCGTCACCAAAGGTAACAAACACCTCACCTATCCCCATCATAGGATTAAAACACACCAAATCGTTACCATAACCATAGGTAACACTTCATTGATCCCCACGTGAGACCGGTTACTCGCTCCCGATCCCCACCATAGGATCAAAGCACACCAAAACTGGACTGAAGTCTGTACACCATGATGCATGACTCTCACCAACATGAATTTTCACCAAAAGGTTCACCAAAAGAATCACCAAGCACATCTCATCATTTACGCACAACACCATTCATCACGCGTAACAACTAATTAATGTTGCAACATCAATAAACAACAACAAACAACAACTCAACAAATATAACTTCATAAGCATTTATTCATGTTACTTCACCAAAATAACAACACATCAACGTATAACCATAACAATTCGCTAAGCGATCACACAAGTCAACACAAACATTTCCACAGTAGGTACATAATTATAATTTAAACAGTTCACCAAGCATCACCATTTCCAACGCTTCAAACTGCGCCTCAATCCGAGTTACGAAACTTAAGTTACGACGAATACAGTTGGAAACGACAAATCAACATTTCTGGAAAACACAATAGTTGTAACTGGTTAACCAAAACCTGTAACTGGTTATAGTCACGAAAATTCAAACAAAAAATCTTATCAACTTCAGCTCTAACCAGTTACCATTGCACATAAACGCAAAAACACGATTTTCACCATTGGAGCACTTCCAAAGCTCCGATTCTGATTCCGTAAAAACCATCGGTCTCATAATTTGATATACTAAAATTATTCAATGATTAAAACAAATTCACAATATATCATAAATTATCATCAACAAAATCATCACTTTTCATGGTTTCCAGGTTATGTTTTCAAAGCTTTTTCAACACAACAATGGAGATGTTACACTGCACACGTCAGGGGGCGTGCAAAACAACTGAGGTCATCATTGCCAATTCTTCATAGTCTGTGATTCTATAAAAGTGGCAGATTCGTCCTATTTTCAAATGCATTGTCATATTCTCACTTCTTAAAGCAAATTGTTTGTCTTCTCCAAACACAAAGTTCTTCATTTTGCTCGCTCATAGGTACACATCATTTTCCTTCTCTTCACACTTTTCCTTTTCAATCATGGCAATTATTAGTGACTTGGACGAGTGTGTCAAGGTGATATAATCGTCAAATGGTAGAAAGTGGTATTGGGTGTATTTTCATTGCATGAAGAACACTCAGGGAGCAGATGAATCTATCAACTATATATTTTTAGAAATTGGGGTGTTTGCGTGTTATGAGAGTAGTGATAGTTCTGATAGTCATAGGAAAGTGATAGTGATAATGATTCCTTTTTCTATGATGTCTCAAGCACCACGAGGCTATTGACGAGCTTTAGCTTTTCCAAGAAGTCTGAGGCTGAAGACTATGATTCGATGTACACCAAGTAATGGAAAGTAGATTCCTTATGTGAAAATATGAACTTGTCTAAAACGAAGGATGAAAAGGACCTCATCTTGGAGCCTTGGACTAAGAACAAAACTATATAATCGAATAAGCTTCACTTAGTGTTAGTGTTTCACAAGACCACATAATCGAATAAGCTTCACATATTCATTTTATATCTCACTGATTTATCCTTATGTGTGTGACTATGTTAGGGATGTAAATGGATATCCATGGGAACATATACTATGATATTTGTATCTATCCGGTTGGATAAATATGATATCTTTAACTTCCCCATATTCATACGGATATCCCCTAAGCGGGTAATTCGCTAGATTTAAGGTATTTGTGGGTATTTACAGATATCCATGGATACCATTTTTTTCTAAAATTATTTTTTGAAAAAAAATATTTTCAACTTCTTTGAAAGACACAAAAAATTATTATCACATAGCATCCATACAATTTGCTCTTAATTTAACAACAAAATTTTATCACATTAATTTTCTTCTTTTTCACCAAAACATAATAACATGCAAACATAAATATTCATACATTTCATTTTCAACCAAAAAAAAAAATTGCAATTGTGGCTTATGGTGGAAGAGCAGACGACAAAGGAGTAGGAAGGAAGACATTGGTTGGACAGAGGAAGGGCGTTATTGAGTGTTTGGACGATGGAATTGTTAAAGTGAGGTATGGAGTATTAAAAAAACTTAAATATGAAATGACCAAATAGTATTTGTATGAAAAGGGAAAGGTTTTCTTCAAAGAAAAGTTCAAAAATAAAATAAAATATAAGAAGACTATTTTTCTAAAAGATGATAATACATGGTGTAATAAACTAATTATATAAAAAAAATTATAATATATTTGACACGGCGGGAAAATTTTGAAATTAAGCTATTGATTAACTTAACTCAGAAAGCAAGATTTGCCACCGAACTTTATTATTTCCAAAGGGAAAAGGGAAAAGATCGAACAAAAAGGCAAACAAGCAAAGAAAGAGAGATCTAGATACGAGGGTTGGTTATGCAAAGGGAAGGTATTAACACCCCTCACTTCTGTGCTACTCCATATGAACCATTTGCTTATTTGTGTTTAAAAAGGCTATGCTATTTGTTGATTGATTTTAAGTGAGAAGATATTTTGTCATATTCGGTGGAAAAACTTAACTTACTACCCACAAGTATGAGAAAATGAGCATTTGCATCAATCTTGATATGAAGAACTTTACTTGGACTTTCTCACGAGTACAACTCAACATTCAAGTGGAAAATATCAATCATTTCTCAATATCTTGTATAAGTATAGAGATTTGCATCACTACAATAATATACCAACATCTAATATTTCTGAAAAAAGACTCTTAAAGAAAAAGGGTGCACCAAGGCACAAAAAGAAGTTTGATGAGGTTTGTGTTTTTTAGAGATTTTGCAAAAAAGTTTGAATATGCTTAAGTGTTTTAGCATTTATTGAGAAAAGATTTTCTGGATCACTTGACAAGGTCAAGGTTTATTGAGAAAGAAGTGTGAAGTTTGAAAATAGAAAATT